AAGTTCTCTCAACCATTTTCAAACCTGTAAAACAGAAGGTTATAAAGACAAAAAACTAAACAGAAAATGAGGAAATAGTTGAAAGAGAACTAAAAAGTATTAATGGAGCATTCAAAGGTCCAGTAGAATCTAGTTAGAATTATATAGGGGAAAAAAGCACAAAAAAAAAAAAAAAAAAAAAAAAAAAAGGATGTTCTTTCCTTCCTCAGAAGTGAGAATAAAGACAAGGATGGGGGAGAAAAAGACCTGCAAAGGAGTGAAAATGAGCAGGAAGAGTTAGAAGGATTGAAAAGAAAGGGGAAAAAGGAAAGGAAAAGAGAAAGGAAAAGGAAAAGGGAAAGGAAAAGGAGCAAGGAAAGGAAAAACGAGCAGGGAAAGATCAAGAAGGGAATCAAGAGGGTTATGAAAAGGAATCTTTTCATAGAGGGGAGAAGAAAGAAAATACCTGAAAAATCAGTGAAAATTAAGTCAAAGTACTGCAGGCAGTGGGAATGGGAAAGGAAAAGTAGGGAAAAGGAAAGGAAAAAGCAAGGAAAGGACCTGAAAATCAGAGAAAAGTCACTTAAGTATTGAAAAGGATAGGAAGTGGGAATAACAGCATGAAAAGAAAGGAAATTATAAGAATAAAAAAGCAAGGAAAAGGCAAGGAAGGAAGAGGGGGGGGAAAGAAATTAAATTACCCAGAAAAAGCATGGAAGAGGTGGGAAAAAATGGAAAAAGTCAAAGCAGGGAAAACCAGGGAGGGGATGGAAAAATGAGCAAAAGGAAGAAAAAATGCACCTGGAAAACATTTGGAAAAAAGTGGACGAGGAAGGGGAAAGAAATTTGAAAAGCACTGAAGTGAGAAAAGGAAGCACAGAATCACCCAAAAATATGTAAATAATGGGGGAAAAAAGGGGAAAAGATAAAGATTGGAAAGAAGAAGGGGAAAAAACCTAAAGGGAAGGCAAAGTGGGGGGGAAGCAAATGCAAATCAAGGGTGGCAAAGGAAGGGGGAAAGACAGGCAGGAAAAAAACAAGCAGGAAAGATGGGAAGTGAAAAGAAAATACAGGGAAGATTAATGAAAGTAAAGAGGGGGTGTTGAAAGATCCTGAAAAAATAATGGAAGAGAACTCAAAGGAAGGGAGGAAAAGTCAAAGCAGGGAAAAATCTGAAAGCACCAAGATTTTTTGGGGGAAAGAATTGGGAGGAAACCAAAAGGGGAAGAGGAAGGGAAGAGCAGGGGATGGAAGCAAGACAAAATAGGGGAAGAATGGCAGGAAAACAAAAGCAAGGAAAGCACAGGGAAAACTGTGAAAAGAGAGGAAGAGAATAAAGCAATACAGGTAGAAGGAAAAGCAGAAAGACTGGGAAAGCAACAGGGGAGAGAAAGAATGGAAAAGCAGTGGGAAAAGAAGGGAAAGGCAGAGATAGAAAAAAGGGGGAAAAAGACAAGTAGAGGGAAAATTCAAAGCTGAAAGATGGGAAAAGGAGGGAAAATGTGAAAAGGAAGAAAAAGTGTAGGAAATGGGAAAAGGGTCAGAGTGGAAAACAGGGAAGGGGAAGGAGAAGCACTGAGAAAGGACAGGAATTTAGGAAAGGGGGAGAAAAGACTTTGAAGTGTTCCTGAAGAGGGAAATGACCTACAGCTTCAACTTAAAACCAAATGAAAAGGGCATTAAAATTCTTCTAAAGTGGCAATGTTGGACTTCTGACAAAACTCCATCACTGTTCCCATGAAGGAATTCTTGGGACATCTCTGCTTTTCCATGCCCTGCCTCCTGAGATTCCTGGATTTCTCCTCTCAGGTCACTTGTGACACTCAAGTTTTCAGAATTTAATTTCCAAGGAATGGGAACAGCCCTGAGGCTGCCAGAGCTCCAGGAGAATCTGGACAGTGCTGCCAGGGATTGGGATTGTTGGGGGTCTGGGCAGGGCCAGGAGCTGGAATGGGGGATCCCTGTGGATTCTTCCCACTCAGGACATTCCATGATTCTGTGGTTGAATTCTCTCAGCTTATTCTTGACTTCAAAGGTCTCCAAAATGGGACTTTCCTTTGAGTACAAATTAGGAAAGGCTTTGTTGAGTTCAGCTCAATGTGCTCCAATCAGGATGAGCCTTTCTTCCTGTCCCGGGTAAAAGGAACTCCGTCACCATCATCATCATCATCATCCCATCATCACCATCATCCCTGCAGTCTCAGAATTATCAATTCCATCCACCAGCTGCTGACATTGATGGGGAGGAGTCCTGGATTCCTGCCTGAGCTGGCTGGCAGGAAAATCTGAAGGAAAAGAGAGAGCCTGGAAACTGACAGGCAGTGGTAAAGATGTCCCCAGCTGGGGAAGGGGAAGAGAGATCCTGAAGAAAGATATTTTAAAAATGTTCTGCTTGAGATCTTCCATTAATTTCTTTAGAACAAACATTTGATTTTTCCATATATCATTTTCCAATCATTAACTCCCTTGTTTTGGACAATCAACATCCATCAAATGCATCTCCTTTCTCAAGGGGAGGCCTACAGGAGGGGGATTTGGTTATTAATTTCTCCTGCCTTAGCCATGCTCCTCTTCTATTACTCAACACCACAAGCAATACCCATAAAACCTGAAGTTTCAAGAAATTGTTAAAATTCCTGTGATTTTGCAAGAGATTCATGAATCAGTGCTCAGCAGGACTCAGTGATCACACAACAAATTTGAGAAGTTTTTAACCCATTTTTAACAGAATCAAAGAAAGCTTTGCATTGGAAGGGACCTTAAAGCTCATCCAGTGCCCCCCCTGCCATGGCAGGGACACCTTCCACTGTCCCAGGCTGCTCCAGCCCCAGTGTCCAACCTGGCCCTGGGCACTGCCAGGGATCCAGGGGCAGCCACAACCTTTGCCAGTGTTTTACCACTCATGGTAAAAAATGCCTTCCTTATAATAAACATAAATCCAGCTCCTTAATGTTGAAAGCCATTCCCTGTGTCCTGTCCCTCCATCCCTTGTCCCTAGTCCCTCTCCAGCTGTCCTGGAGTCCCTTTAGGTACCAGAAGGGGGTCTGAGGTCTCTCTGGAGCCTTCTCCGGGCTGAACAACCCCAGCTGTGATCAACTCTGAAGCTCCACAGTATCAACCATAAAAGATAATGAGCAGCAACTACAAACCCCCTCAGGTGTAGGCAGATCCCATAAATTTGACAGGGCTCTTATGGAGAACTGCTGAAATCAAATCAAGGCATCTTCATCAGTGAGGAAGGAACAGCTCAACAGCCGTCAGGAGGTGGAAAACTAAAAACCAACTGCAAATTTCCAACATGAAGCTGTTCCTGTAGAACCCCACAAAAACAGAAATATGGAACATATGCTTTGCTGGCCAGGTATTGTGCACTTGAACATGAATCATTCCAAGTAAAATATCCCAGAATCCAGGATCTCTAAGACTGGAAAAGCCCTCCCAGCCCATGGAGTCCATGCCCACCCTGTCCCCTGCCCAGAGCACTCAGTGCCACCTCCAGGGGACACCTGCAGGGATGGGCACTGCAAAGCTCCCTGGGCAGCTCCTGCCAAGGCCTGAGCACCCTTTCCATGGGCAAATTCCTGCTCTTGTCCACCCTGAGCCTGCCCTGGCCCAGCCTGAGGCTGTTCCCTCTGCTCCTGTCCCTGTTCCCTGGAGCAGAGCCCGACCCCCCCGGCTGTCCCCTCCTGGCAGGGACTTGTGCAGAGCCACAAGGTCCTCCCTGAGAGAATTCCAATAAATAAATTATCTAAAAGTCAGGCTAAACACCAGCTACCCTCAGGAGATCAACTCTCAGCAGTATCTCTACTCTGCAGCCACTTCCTTGTGTATTTTTGACCAGAAAGACATTTCCTTTCTATCCAGAAGTTCCACACTGATCTTACTGGAAAAAATTTGTTCTATAAACCAACACAACATGTTCTGTGTCACCAGGCTGGAGTTTGCACTCATTCCCTCATTAGGAAAGATGTTCCTGATGGGCTTCTTGGAATTCTTGATGGGATTCTCTGCGGAATCCTGATGGGATTCTCTGTGCAATTCTTCCACAGAGGATCCTCAAAAGTCTTTTTCGGTTGTCCAGTAAAAAGTATAAGCACATGGATGGTGTGATGAAAACAAGGATGGCAGAGTGATAAATAATGGAGATGAAGTCACATTTCCAGGTGAATCCAAGACTTGTGGCATCCAGGCCCCTGCAGACACCACAGTACTTACAGGATGGAATCCTAAATCCTGGCAGAGCAGCCATTCCCCAAGGACTGAGCAATCAGGATGGAGAATCATCTAAATTTACAATCCTTTAATGCAAAGAACTGAGGCTGAAAGGTTGAAAACTGCAATCCTGGCAGGGATAAGCAGACAAGGAACCGAGTGAGAGGTCCAAGGATGTACCTGCACCTCCTGCACACCCCGCAGGACTGGCAGCACTCCCAGGGGCTGTGTGCAGCAATTCCAGCTTTTACAATGGGTTTGAAATCATCTGAGGTTTCAGAAGAGCCGTAAGAGCTTTACAGTTAATGGATTTAAGGAGGTTCATCAAGTGAACATATTTTTATGTGGAAGAGTTTCAAATTAGTTGTTACTCGTTGTTCTGCCAGGCTCTGGTGGCCACCAGCTGTAGCTCAGCAGTCCCAGAGCTGAAGGAGGACTGGGAGCCTGGAAATAACCTGGCTGAATCACTCCAGAGACACGGAAAGCTCCTCCCACCTGGCAGAACCTGCAAGAAAATCAGCTTTTTCCAAACTAGGTCCTACTGCACCCACAGCCAGGGAGTTGGTGATACAGCAGGAACTGGGCTGGGGTCTTGGGATAATGGCAGGCCAGTCCCAAAATCCCATTCCACGGCCTCAAAACCAGCTCCCCTGGGATGGGGAGGAAGATGCAGAGCACATCAGAACACAGACTAAGAGATGAGGATTAAAGAACTCAAACTACAAGCACAGTCCATGAGAATCGAGCAGAGCTGTGTTCACACATCAGTGATTTGCAGACCTCGCTGGTTTTCAATTAAAAACTCCAAATTAGCTGTTACGCCTCCAACTTTTACTTTCATATTTTTAAGTCTGTTTCAATGTATCTGATATTTACATATTATAGTATAATTATACCTACCATACCATGGCTTGGAGTAGGTTAATTGCATAGGAAGACTTACTACTTTTACATTTTTTCTTTGTTTTTTTTTCTTAAATTACTCTTTTTTTTCCTTCTTTTTTTTTTTTTTTTCCTTTTTAAAAAGCACAGTAAAGAGTCTGAGGACAAATTATTCAACTGTTTATCATACATAAGACTGCATGACTATAATACAAAGGGCTTGTCTTTTCATTTAACGTTACAATATACACAGCAAGTCCGGACTAGATCTTACAATCTGAACACAGGTATTTAACCTTTTCCATGCTGTTTATGTTTACAATGCACAGAAGTCCTGTAACCAAACTGTGTAGTAAAGCACACAAAACTGGACTGTAACATAACACAGTATGCAGAAGTACTGGATTTTATGATTTTTTTTTTTTTTCTTCTTGATGTAGAGGTTATTTCTTTGAACTGCTTTAGGTTTGGTGGGGTTTTTTTGGCGCTTGCTAAGGGGTGGCGCGTGGTGTTACCCAGATTCCATATTACCCTTATATTCCTAGACAGCAGTAAGAACTGGATTCCTTTTATTTGATATTGCTAAACTCAGCATTCTTTTCTAAGGTGACAGCCTTCCAAATCCCATAAACTTCTCTGAATAACTGAGCTTCAAAAGAAAACCAACCAAAAAAAAAAAAAAAAACGGGGAGGAAAAAAAATCTGCTTTCATCCACAAGGTTGATGTGTCAGTACAAAAAGAAATATTTGATTAAGAAAACCATGATTTATAGAAAAAAGCTAATCCCAAGGATTCGTTCCCATGTACACAGTAGTCAGCTGCTGTGTTGCCACTGTGAGTTTAAAAAATTCCACCTTTTCGACTGAAAAAACAACTTGGCCGCATGGAATTGACCATTTGCTGCTAAAATTAACTTTTCCAAGGGCTTACTGGCAGAGGTAGATCACTGCTTCTGTAAGAGAGGATGGGTGACACTGTTCATCTGGGATGGGCAATCAAGGAACTCACCTTCATTCCTTCACCAAGGTTTTTTTCCTCACGCAGCTTTTTTAAAGTTTTTTTTTGCCTTTTCCCCCCCAAAAAAAACCAAAACAAACAAAAAAAAAAAAAAAAAAAAAAAAAAAAAAAAAAAAAAAAAAAAAAAAACCAAAAAAAAAACCAAACAAAAAAAAATCTCTTGGATGGGCCCGTAAATTTTGCAACTGCCAAGCTGACTGTGTTATATTAAGGCAGCGTTACCCAAAAATTAGGCACCTGTTAAATACAGCCTGCTAACCTCAGGTCTCCCGTGAGGGTTTTGCTTTACTCAGCCTATTATTTTTTTGGACCTGTTCATGCAATCAAGGTCTTTGCCTTCAGGTTTACAATTTTGTTAATAAGGAATACAAGAATCAACTGCTGGTTTCATAGCTTCTGGATCTAGTGTCCCTTTTAACCTTCAGAAGCCTGAACACATTGATAATGTAACAGATGTTATAGTCTCCAAGTAGATGTCAATCTATTATCTTCAGTACACAGATTGCTGTAAATGTATTGGCTATGAATTCAACAACAGTTCCAGTTTTGTTTAAGCAATAGTACAGCCATAATTTTTCAACTGACATTTAAAAATGGTCTAGTTACACCTTGTGTCAAAGTGCAGAACTGCTACATTATTGGTTACAGACATCTATGTGCTATAAAAACAGCTTTGGTACAATAAATTATCAAAAAAGAAAATAAATTTTTGTAAAATTCACAGCATAATTGTGAGGCAAAAAAGCAGTCACATAAAATTCTGCATTTTTTTTTTTTTAAAAATGTTCAGGATGAACAGAAGACGTCTTTGTGCAGAAGTAATGGTGGAGAAAACCACGTGCCGAGAAAAAGCAAAAGAAAAAAGTAAAAAGCAGGAAGGGACACAGTTGTAGCTATTTCCATCAAACGCAAACCACTACTCCTGTGACCTTCAACCAATAAGGAAGTCAACTTTATGACACACGCAAAGTGACCTTGCAATACCTTACAATAAGTGGGTCACAAAAGTCTATTTTAAAAGAAAGGCCTCTTGAATTACCCATTCTCTGTGTTTTCAGCATTAAGGACTGTCTGCAAAAGCATGTCCAAAAGTGATTGCATCTGAAATGGTAGGCTCTTCTAACTTAAGAGTCCAAATCCATAAGGCCAAAGGTTATCCCAAAGACCACCACTTAGACCTCCCCAGGACTGGCCAGGACCGACCCGTTGATTGCTTCTCAGTGCACCTCAGTTATGAAACCAGTCAGATTTCCATCCTAACTGCCCGTGGGCTCCAAAAGGTGGCACCCACAGAATTCCCATCACAATTGCTGCTTTGATCCTCAGTAGATTCAGAAAAGGAGAGTTCTGCTCACCGCCACTTCGCATGCTCAATGTGCCTCACAAACTCCGTCACAACCGTCCCTTTTTACAGCTGAAGAATAATATATTTGTGTAATCTGAAGGTCCCTCTTTCTTACAGTACTGCATTTCTGTGCCCATGGTTGTTTGGGGAACTAAAAAAAATATATATATTACTCACTCCCCCTCCCACCCAAAAAACTTCAAAGGGCCTTTTTTTAGAAATCATGTGCAATGCCTTTAAAAAGAAACTAGTTTGCAACTATGACTAACATTTGAACAATAACCCCTGTCGAATGAGAGCAAAAAAAATTTAAAATTAAAATTAAAAAAATCAAAACCCCTCCCCAAAAAAACCAAGCTATGACTAGGTTGTGGCAAGTTAAAATGGGGGAAGCAAAAGGTGAACACCACTAAGCTATCCGTTAAGGTGGGTCCAGACATGGCTCTTAAAAAAAAAAACCAACCAAAAAACCTCCCCCCAGCAAAAAACCAACCAAAAAAAAAAAACTTCATTGTCCCTTTGCAATCTTTTCAAGTTTAAAAAAATAGTCAACTTTGCCCTCCTGTAGCGGTTCAGTGAGTTTATCTCCTTCTGATTCAAGCAGCTTTGCACTTTGTTTTTTGGAAAAACACCACTTCTATAAAAACACACAAGAAACAAACTTAGTTTCAGTTTAGTCACGAGCTAGCCACAGGACTTTGCTGAACACAAACTCCTGTCATGGGAGACTCTTCTCTATCAATGCCTTGCCTCATGGCAAGGTGTCCTTCAGTCATGTAATGAGCAGGACCTGTATTAGCAGAGAACTGGTACGTGGGATGTCCAGCTATGCCAGTTTCTTGGCGCGGATTAGAGTAGACTGTTAAATTCATGTCCATAGCTCCGTTCTGTCCAAAGTCCAAGGTATTAGCAGCCACTGGGCGGTTCTGATAGGCCTGATTGCCTTGGTTACCAGTAGAGGAGGAAGATGTAGAGGAAGAAGTAGTTGAGGAAGACAGGGATGTCATGGAGTGGTGACTGTGGCCCACCTCCATAGAATCCTGGGTGGAGGAGCTGTTTGTTGGAGAATTGTAGACTCTCGGCCTGGTCCGGCTGCCCAAGGCTTGCTGTCCATGGTGGTGGTGGTGGTGGTGGTGATGGTGGTGGTGGTGGGAGCTGTTGCCGTGGTGATGGTGTAATGCGTTCTGTTGCTGAGGGTTTACATGGAAGGTGGTTTCCTGAACCGGGTGGTTCTCGACGGTGACCTGGGTGGGAGCTTCGGTGGCTGTCCAACCGATGGGAGGGGGAAACTGCTGCCGAACCTGCAAAATCCCAATGAAAACGCTGACTCAAAGCTGTCCTTTCACCCAGTCACAGAACCACAAAGGCTGGAAAAGACCAACCATCCAAGACCACTCAAGACCATCCAACCTCTGACTACCTTGTCGACTGAGTGTCACATCCAGTCAGTTCTTGAACAACACACGAGAGATTAAGTTATTCGTATTTATGCCAATTTTTTTAAATGCTAACCAAGCCTTACAGTTGCACATTTATTCTAGAATTTCAGACATACCCTTAAGAATAATTTCCAATACTTTTCTATCTTGAACAACACATGAGAGATTAAGTTATTCGTATTTATGCCAGTTTTTTTAAATGTTAACCAAACCTTGCAGTTGCACATTTATTCTAGAATTTCACCCTTAAGAATAATTTCCAATACTTTTCTATCTTGAACAACACATGAGTGATTAAGTTATTTGTATTTATGCAAATTTTTTAAAATGTTAACCAAACCTTGCAGTTGCACATTTATTCTAGAATTTCACCCTTAAGAATAATTTCCAATACTTTTCTATCTTGAACAACACATGAGAGATTAAGTTATTCGTATTTATGCCAATTTTTTTAAATGCTAACCAAATCTTGAAGCTGCACAATTATTCTAGAAATGCAGGCCTGTACTTAAGAGTAATTTCCAATACTTTTCTACATGTATCTGAAGAAAAATGAATTATCCTGAATTATTTTCAAACACTTAAAGGAAGTCTGATAAGTGACTTTGCTGTCAAAATTATAGGAGTAGCTTTACATTACAGTAATAATAATAACACCATTTGTACAACACTTAGAAAAATAAAGCCCTGACCTCTGTCTCAGGAGTCTGGAGACAATAAGCAAAGCAAATGAAATTAAAATGTTGTAGCTCATACCTTGAAACGTGCCAACAGCATTAGAGGAACCACTGGAACAACACAGCTGATTAAAGGCTACTAAAAAAGCAAGGTCTGTCTACACAGCAATTAATGGTGTACATGGGGGGAGCATCTATGGTTTTATGTGTCCTGCACTCAGATGTTCTGCATTACCTGTGGGCTGTGTGTTTCACAGTCCATAGCTTGCACAGCAGCAGTGAAGTGCCCACCGCTGTGTCGATGCTGGTGCGTGGGGTCCGACCGCGCCCTTCCGCTGTTGCTCGTGCCAGAAGATCCACCTGGAAAACCCCAACATGCTCAGTGACTAAAGGGACACAGAATTTACAGCTATCAGACAATGGCAGCATAAAAGGTTTATAAAGTGCTTCAAGGAAAAAGTGTAAAATCAATGTTAATCACTCACATTTTTGCTCATGTAGTTGGATTTTTGGGGGTTTTCTGTTTACCTGTTCCAGCTGATTAAAATAATTGTTTAGTGATCATGCCCGATATTTTTTGACAGTATGGAAAAAAAAATAACATTTCACAGACTCATGGAATATTCTAAGTTGGAAGGTACCCACAAGGATCATCCAGTCCAAGTGCACAGACACTCCAACAATCCCACCCTGGGTATCCCTGGCAGCGCGGTCCGAAGGCTCCTGCAGCTCTGGCAGCCTCGGGGCCGTGCCCATTCCCTGGTGAGCCTGTTCCATGCCCAATATAAGGAAGCACAATTTTATCACCTGTTCATGACCAAAACCCACCTGAGCTTGAAGATGTACTAGAGGTGGTTCCTGAAGACTGTGACTGCTCCATGGCAGGACTCGTGGACACGCTGTTACTCGTGTTGGTACCTTCGTCCGCCGTTTTCTTGAAGAAACTGTGCTGCAGGGCGTAGTAGGGCTGGATTCGTGTCTTGGGGTCATAGTCAAGCATCCTTAAGATGAGGTCTTTGAACTTCAAGTAGTCAGCTACAGTATGACCTGACTCCCCAGCACGGCGCCCACCCGGCCCTCCTGTCTCAACTCCCAGGATATTGTGGAGTTTGCGAGTTCCCGGTGGTTTGTATTCCTGTGGGGAAGGAGGAATGGTTGGGAATCAGTGTGTGCAGCACAGATTCTACATCAAAAGTCAAATCAAATCAGGAAATGTTATTTAATTGACAAGACAGAACAAAATGAACAACAAAGCTGCATTTTCAATAAGATGATGAAAAACAAAGTAACGACTCACCATTTTATGTATTTTTATATATACTTATTATTATCCTAATTGTTTTACCTACCCTTTTTCCATCTTTGGTCTTCTTCAAGTTCCAAGTGCTATCTGGCAACTTCTCAAAGAACTTTCTTGCTTTGGGTGCTTGGTCGAGGATGTGGGTTGGTGGTATCCCCAAAACTTCCACTATTTTATTCATCTGATCCACCTGTCCCAAATAAAATGGGTTGGTGAAGGACAAGTGACAGCCAGCCCAGCTGTGGCACAAATGTCAGCTACTCACACAAGTTCTAAGTTAAAAATTGAATATGGACAAAACAAATTAAGGAGTAAGAGGAAGACACAGAGAATTATGAATGGGTAGTTTTGTGTCCTGACAAAAGTCCTGTTATTGCTGTCTAATCCTTTCAGAATTACCAGGCTTCCCTAATTTATGCATTCCAATAAACAGATGAAAATCATTATGGGGATTAACAATAAAAAACCCCAATTCCTGGTAGATAACTTACCTCATTTGCCCCACTAAAGAGAGGCTCTCCAGTGTGCATCTCGACTAAAATACACCCAAGGGACCACATGTCAATTGCAAGGTCATAAGGCATTCCCAGTAGCACCTCTGGTGATCGATAAAAACGACTCTGGATATATTGGTATATCTGCAAGAAAAGCATCTCCAAGTCACAATCACACACAGCATCCCAGGGGAATGAAAATTCCAAGTGACAAAACACAACTGCCACGAAATCCCATTTTGGTGCAGGGAAAGATGAGGTATCAGGGATAATAAAATCTGTGTATATATTACATTAATAAAAGTATCTAATTATTAATTTTTAGGAAAATACTGTGCTCACAAAAAAAGCAGAAGTTCGGCTTAAGTCATGTCATGTTTTTGTAATTGTGATTTTTAACATTTCAAAATTATCTTCTTATTGATAAATAATGGATTTGGATAAATAATTCCGATGTCATTTCACCTCCTGGTGTCTTCCTGCAGTCCTTCCTTTTAGTTAATAGCAAAAAGTTATTTTATTAATCTAAATCTCTGTCTCATTGCTGCTTTAAGTACAATATTCCATATTCTGATCCACTATTCCTAAATTTATCCTGGGAAAAAGCAATGGGGTGCTAGTGACCAGTGCCAGCTCCTCAAGAGACAACTGGGGCACTTTTGGTGAAGTTAGTCCATGAATTCCTAAATTCTTTTCCTACAGATCCAGTCTGCAGTGTCACTAATCATAAACAGGGGACATGCTAAAGGAATGCTCATGGAAAGAGGAATATAGATGGAATAAAAAGAGCATTTTATTTATTTTCACTTAATTTTTTATTTATTAGCATTGCAGATTTCTACAACCAAGTGCTGGTGCATTCTCCACTGACAGCACAAAAACACAGCCAGGGAGAAATAAAAACCATGGAAAATTTATCATATGGTGGACTGTTATCTACTGGGGCACTAAAGGAAGTGGAGGATTGTCAAATTGTTCAAAATAAGGCGTGGATGTGACACTTTTGGACTTGGTTTAGAGGTGAATGTGGTGCTGCTGCTTCATGCTTACACTTGATCTTAAAGATCTTTTCCACCCTTGACAATTTTGGGATTCTGAGCTCTTGTGGACTGTGGATCTCTATTTAAAACTGAGTTATTGTTAAAAACCCATCATGAATAAGTTTCAATGAGCTAGATGAGTATTATAAATTAAAAATCCTACATCTTTCATCAGCGCAAACGGAATTGTCTCCGTTTTTCCCCCCAAACTCACCCTCTGCCCAAGCTGACACGAACTGCCAAAATCCACGATCTTGATGGCGCTCCTTTTGGGGTTGCAGAGCAGGATGTTCTCTGGTTTTAGGTCACAGTGAATGATGCTGAGCTCGGGGGTGGCCAGGAAGAGCAGGGCCGTGCACATCTGCTGCGCGAACTTGCGCGTCAGGTTGAGGGACACGCCGCGGAAGTTGGTGTTCCTCAGCAGGTCGTACAGGTTGTAGGACAGCATCTCAAACACCAAGCACAGGTGGTTCCTGAACATGAAGTGGCGCTTCAAATGCACTGGGGAAAAAGGGGAAAATGTCATTAATACACTCTGAGAATGATGGGTTAGTTATAACACTGCATGTAGGAAGGAGGATCATCAATAAAATAACAGAGCGTTGTTTTTCTTCCCTGGTTCTGTGGTGTTTACAAATTATTTCTGCCATGCTTGGAGGACAAGAGGACATTTTCACATGCTCAGGTGCACCTCAATAAAACTGGAAAATCTTGTGAAATCTTTTAAATGCTTTAATCAATGTGTAGGAAGCTGAGCATTGAGTAAAATAAGAGCATTGGGTTTTTTCCTGGTTCTGTGTTATTTACAAAAGATTTCTGCCATGCCTGGGGTACAGAGGAGCATTTACACATCCTTGGGTACAAAAACTTGTGAAATCTTTTAAATGCTTTAATCAATGTGTAGGAAGCTGAGTGCTGAGTAAAATAAGAACATCCGTTTTTTTCCTGGTTCTGTGTTATTTACAAAATATTTCTGCCATGTTTGGAGGTCAAGAGGAGATTTTCACATCCTCAGGTACACCTCAGTAAAGCTGAATTAACCAAAAACCTGTGAAGGAATATATTATCAAAATAAGTTATCACTCCCTTACATATACATAAGAAAATATTTAATTGTGAGAATAATTTAAAATACACAATGACATCACTGCAATTTATAAGCTGATCACTTCAATTAATAAAACTGATCAATATCCCCAAGGAATTGTATTCATTTCCTTCAGGCACAATCTCAGTTTATGAAAGGAACCAATCCAAGCCCTTTTCATTAAATAAGTGAAATATTCATCACATTCCTCCCTGTTCAGAGGTCAGCAGGGTTTGCCAATGTCAAACCTTCAGGCTGACACAAGAAAACTGAAAGAGGAAAAACATTTCCAAGAAAAAGCAACATGCTCCTCTTCCTGACGTAATAAAATACTGAATATGAGCACCATGAGAATTCAGACTTTTAATTAACGTGGATTTTTGGTCAGCCTGGAGTCCATGGATTTGTTTTCTCCATTCTCCCACAGCAGTTCCTTCTGTATCCTTTACAACTCACTTGAGATGGAACATTTTGCTCCCACCTGATGCCATTTCCTGCCACACATTCTTCTCCAAATTCCTGTTCTCTCACCTCTGGAATTCTCCTCCCACCATTCCATGTCCTGCTGGGCTTCCTACACTTGATTCCATCTCCTCCCCACACTTCCTGAGCTCGCTGGACCCACCAGCTTGGCAGGAACCACCAAACATCATCACAAACATTCCAAAATGGATTTGGCTATCAGCTGAAAGCAGCCTAAGCTCTACAGCAAAATCCAAACTGTTCACAATACAATAAAAATGAGGAGTAATTAATTCCATACCTATGTAGTACTTCATCTCAGTGTCATGTTTGTTCATCAGCTCGAGCAGTCTCACTTCAATCTGGGCCTGGTTTAGGAAAGCCTTCTTGTTTTTGATGATTTTGATGGCCACCCACTCCTGCTCCACTCGGTCATAAGCCTTCACAACCTGCAAGAGAAGCCAAATTCATCAGGAAAATCCAACTTTCAAAACCCACCCAAACTCCCTTGTTCACCTTTTTGAATTCAGAATTCTCCTTTCTAATTCTATTTTTTCTGATGATACAATAAAGCTACAACTCATTTGGTGATGTTTATTGCAGAGATGCCACTTCATATGCAAATAAAATTATCTAAACCAACACTGTAAAAGGACTGGTAAATCTGAGAAAAACTAAAACCAACAAAATAAAAGTTCCATCCTTCTTCCAGCCTTGGCTGAAGCTGCAACCAGTCAAAACAAATGCTGCTAATGACATTTATAGGAGGTATTGTTTTAAGTTAAAAACCCAATCCAAACTAAAAACCTAACTCAAACTAAAACCAAACTCAAGTTAAAAATGTCAACAGATGGCAAAAGGTGGAGGATTTCTCGTTGTAAAATGCAACACACACTGAAATATAATTAAATGTTTTCTGCAGTAACATGAAATAGCACAAAATATGAGTATCTGAAAAGGCGCTCCGGATAACAGGAGTGAGAAAACTGAGTTTTAATTTCAAAATAAAGCAGCAACAGCACTTCAAATTAAACACAGCTGTGATCCACAGCAATGATATAAACACCTAAGGAGCCATTACCTGTCCAAAGGATCCTTTGCCTATTAAAGAGTCGATTTCATAGCGGTCCATCCACTTCTCCCCATTTTTCACAATGTAGTCGTAGTTGTCATCATCATAACCATCATTGTAAACTTTCCTCTCCTTTTTGTGACTGGAATCATCTCCCTGGCCCTGCTGATGCCGCCGTTTTTTTTTTGCATAGTAAACCTGGAGAGGAAAAGGAGTTTCCTTAAGAGCCCTGCTTAGAACTGCAGCTCAAGAAAGAGGAAAATCAACTTTTATTCAGTATCTTGTGGTTTGAAAGTGCAACTTCTGCAAGTGGAAAACCAAGCAATCCTCTCCTCTTATTGCTGTGTTTGAAGTCAGGTCATTATTCCAAAGGAAAGTCTTGAATAATTGAAGAATTGGGAAAGCAGAGCTAAAGAAATGTACTGACACTAATAAATAACAGTAATAACTGATAAATGTACAAACACTAATAAGTAACAGTAATAACTCTGATAAATGTACTAACACTAATAAATAATAACACTGATAAACATAGTAACACTGATCTCTGGAGTTCACAGGTGCCAAAGGAACAGAAACACCCCAGCACAATGTGCACACAGTAAGATTCAAAATGCTAACTAGCCTGGAAACAAGAATTACCACTTGATCTTCTCCCAAGACTGGGAAAAAATTCCAAGGAAGCCATTAATCACCATAAAAATCCTTCACATTCCTTTTATTGTCAAATGTATTAACCTGAACAACTTCGTATTTTCCATTTGTCTGTAATATTTCATTCAATAATTAAGGGAAAACACTTCAGCATTTTCCTTATAAGCTCTTAGAAACATTAATGAAGTTTTATTGAGCTCAAAGTGTGCTTGTGCCACTTGTGTCTCCTTGTCCTGCAAGCTCAACATCTGTTTATAAAACAACAGAAAATAAATCCCAGGATAAAAGATTTCCTGTGTGCTGGACAGAAACAGGACCACGACAGCCATGACCTCAAACAGGACGTGAACAACTGAGAGAAAACTTGGAATTTTTGGATCTCTTGATGGGATTATTCATAGAAAATCCATTTAAATTATGTATTGTAACAAACATCAGTGCACACTGAAGACAGCTGCAGCCATTACCTCATTAATATGCTTGTATGTTTTGATCAAATCTACGGAGAGTTTCCTCAGTGGAGCAGTGGCTGGATCACGAAAAGTCTGGGGCATCCGCCTCTGGAATGGGAATATGACAGAAATTAGATTAAAAACAGGAATTTAATGGTATAGTTACTACATCAAATTGTGAAATTCCTCATGGAAGTGAGCTATTTAAATGCAACAGGTTTAGTTTTTTTTTTTTAACTGACAATAAAAAAACCCCCACACCCAGTTTAGTGACTTTTTGATATATTAATAATTATAAATATATCAATTTTTCAAAAAGGAGTAAATTCCAAAATTCCTACTTCTCCTTCCACTACACCCAATAGGTTTAATGAAAATCTCCTCTGACAACAAAGACTCTCCTCCATCACTCCTCCCCCTCAGGACTGACACATGAACTGCCACCATATTTAAGGTACACATATTTAAGTTCACAGGAACTTCTGGAGAACTGCGCCAGCTCACCACATTCAACTGCATTAAATTCCAAATAAATACTGGAATAAAATATAAACAAAATCCAGGTCTACCAAGAGACAAACCAGCTCCAAAGGCTGTGCCCAGCACTTCTGGACAAGCTCTGGGAATTCTGTTCCCCACCAGCTGGAGTCTGATGGGGACTCTGGAAAGTGGCTGAGCCCTCAGCCTGCTCCTCTCTCCATCCCAGAGCACAGGTGGCTCTGGAATGTCCCCAGGGAGGAGCCCCCAGAGCCCCTCTGGGCTCTGCTCAGGGCTGGGCACTGCCCAGGGCAGAAGTTGTGCCTCCTGTGAGGGGAATTGCTGGGCTCAGGCCCTGCCCGTGGCTCTGGGGCCATTGCTGGGCCTGGAGCAGAGCCTGGGCCTGCTCTGACCTCTGCACACAGGGACAGACAGGGACAGACAGGGACAGACACAGGGACAGACACAGGGACAGCCAGGGCCAGCCAGGGCTGGTTCCCCTCTCACTGGGGCTCCTCTCCAGGCTGAGCAGCCCCAGCTCCCTCAGCCTTTCCTGGGCACGGAGCTGCTCCAGGCCCTTGCTCAGCTCCAGGAGCTCCTGGCCCTGCTGTGCTGAGGAGCCAGAGCTGGACACAGCACCCAGAGGTGTCCCCAGGGCTGGGCACAGGGGCAGGATCACCCCTGACCTGCTGGCAATGCCCATCCCGATGTGCCCAGGACACTCTGCTGGCCCAGGGACAGCTCGGTGTCCCCAGGTCCTTCCCCAGCAGGTCACCCCCAGCCTGTGCTGCTGCCTGGGGTTGTTCCCCTCCAGGTGCAGAACAGCACCTGCATTAAACTCCGGGTGAGTTTAAGCAATTCCACTGGAGAAAAGCTTGTTCTGTGCATGTTTTCCATCAGTATTATTGAACTAATAAATGAGTTATTAAATGGTGGTGTCCACGGAAGGGCTGGAGGTGGCATTCAGAGCTCTGGGCTGGGGACAAGGTGGGAACAGGGCACAGCTGGGATTCATCTTGGAGACCTTTCCCAATATAAATGATCCTGGAATTCATATCAGTGATATGAATTTGAAAAAGTAGAAGTCTTCTTCTGTGACTGAAGAGAGTTTGCCAGTACCAAGTCTACCTGCCCTTCTATTTTTATAGGATAACTTAATACTTATAATGGTTGCTATACAAATAACTCTTTCTTTTTATCCCCTCAATGACAAAATAAAAAGAATCACATCAAAGTGACCCAAAAAAGGTCTCACAGAAAGAAATTATAGTTTGTGCTTCTGAAACTGGACATGCACTGAGGTACCTGAGAGACCACCCTAGAAAGCCAAACTCCCATTCTCCTCCTGTGTGGGCAGGGGGAAAAACCATTAATTTTATTTTATTACAAGTACAAGCACTTTGTAAACATCAGGAAACTGTCTGAAAGTTTCCTAAACAAACCATCAGACATTTACAAAACATTTTTGTTTCTTCCTTTCATCTGGCAAACAAATGTGGCCCATGAAATAAACCCCACCTAAAGGGGATCTTTAGGTTCTCTCCCACAGCACTGAGCAGCACCAAGTCCTGATCCAGCTGTCACTGTTAAAGCATCTTCAAATCCAAGTATTTCCCTCAAATTCCTTAATTCTGACTGAAAGAAGGTGTTGGAATATGGGAACACTGGTGGGGTTTGCTGGTGAAAGAAACCAGGATGTGGCAGAGGAATATCAGGAATACTGGCAGGGCCCAGACCCTGTCCTGGGCTGCAAAACCAGCACAGGGACTTGATTTTTGAGGGAAAAGTCTCAATGTGGAAGAATTCCATAGTTCAGACCAACTAATCCCACAAAAAATTGCTCTAATTTGGAAAGGGAGTTTGTATGACAAGTCTTGATGTTTATTTTCTAATTTATAAGTCAAATTTGCTTGCTCAATTCAAAAATAAAGATCTAATTTCCACTGTGAAATAAACAGCCTGGTGAAAAAAAAATTATCTGTATCATCACCATCCAAAAATTATAAATAATTTAAATTCTGCAGGCTACTGCAGCCAGTCCCTTTTTTAACAATTGTGCATTTTGACAGTCACACATTTCAGAGCACACTCCTGAACTTGTATGAACTTTTCCAGAAGTTCTATTTTGCTCCCCTGGGTTCATAAAGTTTTGGGTTGAATTTTTTTCCTCACACTTTTACACCACGAAATTTGTAATATTCCCTTCTTTTTCCAAGAGGGATTCTTTCTTCCTGATGATGGAAGAGCATGGAAGGAAGTAATTTTGTGTTTTATACAACAACACTGTCCAATCATTTATTGTTGGGGTTACTCTGATTCCTGACTTGAATTCAGGGAATGCTCAACCACCAAAGAAAGGGGAAAAGAAAAGAAGGGGCAAAGGGGAGGAGAAGGGGAAGGAAAAGGGGAAAGGGGAAAGGGGAAAAGCTCCCATTTCACAAGCTTCAGTCTCTATCTGCTGGCCAGACAGCAACACTGCAAGCTCAGATCTCCCTAAAACCAGAACACAAATCAATGAGATGCTGCATCTCAGGTCTGAGAGACGAGAAATTACTTTAATTACAATTTGTAATTAAATAATAAGGAAATACCCACAAAAAAGGCCCCATTTCTGTGTCCTCAACACGCTGGTGACAAAGCACATTTTATGAGAACTGTGACTTTTAACTCAGGTGTGCTGTTTGAACTCCCAGCCTTTGGGGATGGAACACACAACAAATTTCTCTCTTTATGGGCATTTTCTTTTTTGTCCAAACAAATGGCATTGTTCCTTTTTAAAAATATTTTTATTTTGATTATGGAGAATCCTGAGCTGTTTATGGGATGCTTTAATTCAGATTTTTTTTTTTTTTACAAAAAGAAAGATCCATCACCATCCACATTTATTAAAAGAAGAAAAAAAAAAAAAAGATAAATTCAGCTTGTGTATAGCACATGTTCCACTTCACAAACACAATAAATAATGAAGTTTTCATTGTGTCAGGGCAACTTTTAGCAAGAATTCCAAATGTAATTGTTTAATTGGCCTGCATGGCCACACTGATGACAGAGACTGCTGAAGTTAAACGATCATTAACAATAATGTTGAATGGGTAGTGAGAATACCCAAATTAAATATTTTAAACTGGAGCTTGAACAACATGAACTTGGCAATGATCTTGATGTGGTCAATAAAATCTCTGGCTAAGATGTGGTCAGAAAACCTCAAATTGTGCAGGTAATTATTTATATATAATAATAATAATTTTATTTGTATATATATATATTCAAATTATGTTAGATAAACAGAACTAGAAAGGTGTTTAACAATCAGCCTGACCTTCCCATTTCAGGTATTTCACGAAAAATGAACTGCTGGAATTTGTTACCAAAATCTCACCTCAGCTCCTTTATCAGGTAAACCAATTTTCTAATAATTTTGTAATTAAATGAAAAGAGTTTCAAGCAACTGAACATCCATGATAAATATAAAGAGAGCAGCAAAAAAAGAAACTTTGAAGTTGTGACAACTTTTAAGCTCTTATCTTTCATTCCCATCAGGCTGTGTTGAACTCACAAGATGGAACCAGTTAAAACTGGACAGTGAAATATGAATTTATTACCATTGCAGGAGAAAGATCACAGAAATCCCAACTTTTCTGTTCACCCTGGACCATGTGTTCCCACACTGCCCTGAAACTGAAACACCCAGCAGCCACAGCCAAGAGCAGGACCCCTCCTGCCAGCACTATTTGGGAAATAAAAGCCCTAAAAAATAACTCCTGAAGGAAAAAAATGTAAAAAGACAGAGCTGGAAGTTTTTAACTGTAATTTAAAGCCTCATAAATAAGAGAAAAATAAAAAAATCTGGCTGGTCTTGGAGTATCTTCCTAGAATTCTTTGATCCTTGTCAGTGATGGGTTTGGGGACCACAGCCAGAAAGCAGTAAGTGCAAGAGAAAATTATGTAAACAATCTTTTAAGAGCAACTTACATGTAATTATTTACATTATTTACATTTAATATAAACACAGCTAATTTATATAATCTGAATATAAATTGTCATTATTATTCCCTAACCTTTAATCTGCAACTGTGAATGATTCCCCAAAAACCAGAATATGGCCTGCAAGCCACTACAACCCCAAATGCAAGCAGGACAGAGCAGGAATAAAACCAATAAATTCACATGCAAGACCCGGCTTCCCTTTCTCTGCTGATGAATTAAAATCATTCCAGGAACCTGAACCAGACACTCCATAAAAAAAAGAGTCAGTCTGCAGCAAAGACACAAAAATAACCTGATAACCTAATGTAATCTAAATACATAGATTGTAGAGAATTTGAATATGAATTGTCATTATTGTTCCCTAACCTTTAATCTGCAACTGTGAATGATTCCCCAAAAACCAGAATATGGCCTGCAAGCCACTACAACCCCAAACCCAAGCAGGAATAAAGCCACAATAATAATAAATAAATAAATTCACATTCCCTTTCTCTGCTTTTGAATTAAAATCATTCCAGGAACCTGAACCAGACACTCCATTAAAACAAAAAAAAAAAAAAACAAAAAAAAACGGAGTCAGTCTGCTGCAAAGACACAAAAATAACCTGTGAGAGCATCCTCAGGTAATCAGGGAAGCTCAGGGA